CTTTAAGGAAGAAACAAAGCAGTTTTGGTGGAATGAAAAATGTGAAAAATTGAATTAACTTAAAAAGAATTGAGTTAAAAAAGCGCAAAAATTGATTCATTTAGAGCGAGTGGTTTACTGGGGGACAAGAATCGTTTCAAAATAATGCATTCATCAGAGGGCACTGGAACAAACTGAGAATTCGGAAACAGTTAGTCGGCAAAATGCGCATGAGCACCGTTAACTCTTCGTTCTAATGTGTTAACTGATGCAATGATTTGTAGAAGAATACGGTATGCTCGTTCACTCCTGTCTTGTTCGTGATCCTGGTGGCATCGCGTTTGAGATCATCGATGAACGGGGGTAAATCATTTTTCACGTTTTAAATTACTTTAAAATAATTCACTAGTTCCAGTGAGCATGTACTGAACAGGTTGGCGCCGCTTGCATGTTTTTAAGCACCCCCCTGTTATTCACTTAGAAAAACGAATAGTTCGGAATGAAACGGTAGATAAATTAGATGAAAAATTCGGACTGAAAAACAAATACAATTCTAGCAGGGAAGTATTTCAAGCCAAAGCAAAAATTTTCCCGTAAAAAGCTTTCTATGAGAAGCGAGGCGCTCAAAAATACTATAGGCACCATACAGTAACCAGCGAGAAAGTCATCTTTTGAGGCTTGATTTAAGATGGTGACGGCTTCGACTCTTGCCATGCCAGTACCAAATTACCATCAAAAATAACTGATAAATCTTAGAGGAACTGGTTATCCCACTGAACTCTTTACCTCTTTACCTTCTGTACGAAATCTTTACTTTTTGTGACATTACGTATCACTATGGTAATTATGAGAGTTATTTTGCTTTTTGTTAGTTTTCCGTTGCTTCCAAAAAGAAAAAAACCAGTCCCTTAACTTATCAAAGTACTGCATGAGCTGTAGGAGTTATTACAATGCCTCACTCAAGCGTTGCGTGTCTGGAAAGAAGATTTGGCTCTAATGATGATTCCCATTCTTAATCACACTTTTTAGTCTGTTTGTATTTATAGCTAAGAATTGAAAAACATGCTGTTTCTCAGTATATTCATCGATGCTTATGATATTTATATCAATTATCTCTGATCTTATTATTCCAATTTGCAGTTGCATAACGGACCATACGTTAATAGATCCACTGGCGTATGATAATAACTTAACAGTTGCGTACTCATTGGTACCTGCATTCAAATTTGCCGAACAATTAGTCGTGCATTTTCAATGCAAAATAACCCTGTGCACCAAGGAGGAAAATGGCTGTGAGGGAATAACGGTGAGTTCTACGCTATCGCTTCCCGTGCATTCTTTCTAAGATTCGAGTAAAATCGTATGCTTTTGATCAATCAAAGTTCCAAACGTACTATTCATTTTTAGCCGCCCGCTTGTAAAATCATCACAAATCCAAATGTCGACACAATCACCGGGGATGATGATGGTGGCAAAGCTCCAGGGATATCGTACGGAGAAGAGCCCTCGGAAAATGATTCTGGTGGGGGTGATGGTGCTCCAGCACCACAGCCATCTGCTCCGCCAGCTGATGAGCAGTTGCAATACGAAGTAACACAGGAAGGTATGTCCATGCAAAATGCGTTATGAGCAGCCAGGATAATCACAAATTTTATGAAATATCTAAAAAAAAAGTCAACAGGGTTGCCAAAAGAAACAGTAAAATGTGTTTGATTGGTCTATCACCTTGTGAGATCAGATTAACGTCATATGTCCCACTTCTTGCTGGCAGTTGATGGACACCAGTTAGCGGTCATCACTGAGAAAGAAGAATATCATACACATAGCCTTTAGAAAGACGGCACCTGCATGTGTTAGTAAGTAAAAACTGGAGATGTGAAGCTCAGTATGGAAGGAGGAACTAATTTAGCTGCTGTCAACGTGCAAGTTTAGCCCAGTATCGTTGGTGCATCAGATCCAAAGTGGCGGTGGTCATTCAGTGAGAATGGTCATCTCAACTGTTTGCGGAATACAAAATCAAAAAAACAAAATTCAATATAATTAAGAACTCACTGGTTCTGAATTTCTGAACTTTTCCTTTTTTCAGTCGTTCTTGTATGCCATTTTTTGCTTGGATTTGTGTCATATTTGCCGTCGTTTTTTCTACGCTAAATCCAGACAATTCAGCGAACATGAACATTGAACCTGGTGGTTACACAAATAACGAGGCGATGAACAACGAATCCGAGAATGGCGTTGATCTGAACGTCGATATAGGCGCCTCTTTGTCACCACCACATATTGGTTATCGCAGAATGCGCTCCCTTGACAAATCCAAAACAGTCATGGATCCACAGCTCCTGAAATCTCACGTGCTGTCGAATTCGTCCATATCTGCGGTGAGCGACAGTCGTCTGACGCTGGACGTCAATGCGAATCGGGTTATTTCACATTATTCGCCACATCCATTAATAATATGAGTATTGACAGTCAAGGGCCGACAGCGAATCCTTAGCTCCAATGTGGGGGAATTTTGAGGTTCCCAGCGCATGTCAGTACCAATTTACCATCGAAACGAATGAGCAAAATTAAAATCAGACCCTCACCGTTCAGCGTGAGAGCAACATTATTTTTGATCAAAAAGCAGTATAGTAATGAACATGCTTTACGTAAGGAATATTTATTTATCGGAACTCAAAAAGAAGATAATTTTGTACTGTTTTATTATCACAGATATTCATTTCACATGCATTTGAGAATTCTTGCTTGATGAAGAATTACTTGCAGTTGATTGTGTTTGGTCGCGATGAGGAAGCGGATCCATATGTGGCCAAAGCGGTCCCAAAAGAGTGTCATGTGTCACGTATTTCGATGCTCTTGCTAACAGCAACTTTTGTGCTGATATTGCTCTCCATGGCTTTACTTATTTTT